ATTAACGTATCTAATAATGTGGGTCCCAAAATTAAATATCCAAAGCATGTGAGTTTATCTACACAAAGGTATAGAAACTTTAGTTTAATGGGCCACTTTCCTATTCGGCCGACATACGTACATTCCCTAGATACATTTTGTATACTTATACCTATACTATATAGTATGCACATAGTAGAATACGAGACTTTTTAGGGTTTTATATAAATGACAGTCAAGTAATGATAAATTGAATTGTATAAAACATTATGAGCGAAAAAAATAAAAATAGAAGGATCATACAATAAATGACATGTTAGATTGATGGACTCGACGATGCTACACAATTAAAAAATATATATTTATCTTTTCAATAATGATATTTAAGTCAATATAGCATACAAACATTTGGAGGAGGGATATGACATGACATCTAATTATAAAATATAGTCTGGGAAACTTAAAGACGAGATGTAGGGAGCAAAGAAGTATTAAAAAAAAGAATAATGCTGGGAGTACAGAATGATTTTTACAGAGGTTTTACAGAAACTTGAAAACAAAAAGAAACGAACAAAACGTGAGATAAATTGGGGACCCGCATTACATTTCCCCATCTCCACCCAAATAATCCAATTTCACCTAGAGTCTAGAGACTACGCCCATCTTCTCACCCATTGTCTCCATCGCAAGCTAACCAATCGATGCCACACCTCCGACCAGACTGAAAACCCTGAAGCCCATTTTTCCACCGAAAGAGAGATAAATGGCACCTTGAGATTTAGAGGCTTGATGGGGTTGAGACGATGGTAGAAAGAGGGTCGAGTTAACGAGGTGAGCAAGTCTTCATCATCTCTGTTTCGGGATAGCCAACTCCACAATTGCCAAAATTGCAGGGAAATTCAGTGGGGAAAGCACAACTCTGAAATTGACTTAGTTTTTTTATTTTTATTTTATTTTTTTTTAAATTTCTCCTTCTCCATCACAGATTCTCAATCAAGCAAGAAAATGCAAAAAGATTAAAAATGAAGAAATTGTTTCCATGGGTATTGTAGAAAACAGGGAAGTTCTGATTCTGTGCTGGATATTGAAGGCTTCTAGGTGGGCTCGTTCCGGCCACCGTCGCTTGGCTTGTGTTTTGACAGTTGAAAAACAGGCTAGTAAATAAGGTCCAATGGCTTGTTGTTCTTAATCCCAAACGACGTGACTTGTACTTCCAGTTTTCTTCATCATTTTCCCTTTTTCAATAGTGGACAACTCATTCTGTCAAACATCTATGAATATCATTCTAGAAGCCTAGCACGATTGTAAAAAAAAAAAAAAAAGGGATCTTTTAATTTCACTGGTCAAAGTTGAACGTACATTGCATGTTATTTCAAAATACTTTATAAGTTATGTAAAAGTAATATTTGGTATCAATTTATTGAAGGATTTGATGAGTCTCGAACGAATTATAAAAATAAAATTTAGCATAGAAATTTAAGATAATAAAATTGTACTCTCAAAACTCAATTTTTATGATTCAAATTTTTTGTAATGATGAAATACTATAACTGAGCAATATTTTTATATTACATTTGATTCATAAAAGTTAATTGTTAATACATGAATTTAAATATTTATTAAAATTTCTAGATCCATGAATATAAATGAATTCATCTATAATAACTCTAGATTTATATAATTCAATATTTATCAAGTGAAAATTCATTGAATCTAGATTAATGTGAGTGTTAATTAATTGATAATTAACAACACAAATTCATAAACGACAATAATTACGTAATATTTATTATATATCGAAAAACGAAAAGTAAAGTATTATTGAAATAATTGAATTGTAGGAGAGTTAAAATCGTCCAAAGAATCATTCTCCCTTGATATAATACTTTAATATATTATAGATGTATTAATATGTGACTCAAATTTAATTGGATGTTTGTGGATTGGATAAAAAAAAGTGTTAAAAAAGTCAGTATATGATTTGGGAGATTTTGGGACAGAGATTTGGAATCAAGTTGGACCTGAAACAAGGTACCAGAGCGCTATGCTACTGTCTTCTTACCGCTTGTTTTGACTAGGATGGTGGTTGTTGGGGTAGGGTCCGTTTTGTTGCCTCTAATAACTCTGTGCATAGTTAATCTCTACAGGCTAACCATTGTAAGTAGAAGCTAAAAAGCAACTGACAGTGATATGATATGCCACATAACCTGCGTAAAACGAAGCTAGTTGTTGTACCATAATTACTAATTGAGTTAACTCACAAAATTTCTTCGTTATTACTTCCACCTGTGCTGTTAACACCCTCACTGCATCTATGTTATGCATCCCCACAGTTTTCTTTGGAACTTTCATGATGGTTGGATAATTGGCTTGATTCTCGACAATCATCTCATACAGGTTGAGTGCATCGTAGATTTCTAATGTCATACCCGTTAAAACATCTATCATGTTACGAAATTCAGGACGTAGTCCATTGTAGAAGAGATACACATGCGCCTGCTTAGGAATGTTAAGATTTGGACACTTCCTAAATATGCTCTTAAACCTTTCCCATGCATCCAAATTTGTCTCAAAATCCATCTATTTGAAAGAATAGACTTCGTTTTGGATTTGGTGGACTGGAGACGATAGCAAGAATTTCATGGTTAATTTTTGCTTCATGTGATTCCTTGATACAATACTCCTGGTAGATAGGGAATATAGTCATGCTTTTGCACCCTCCTTCATTGTATAAGGGAATAGGCGATTTCGAAAGACATCTAATGACATCCTCTCGTGGCTAATAACTTTGCACAATATTAGAAAAGCTTGTATGTATTCGTGAGAGTTTCTATAGCATTCCCGAAAAACTTGATGTTATGATGATTCTAGAAGAGATTGATACATCGAGGTCTAAGCTGAAAGTTTACCTATCTAAAGGTTGGGTAGATAATAGGCGATTACACTTGTACTAGCGCTGGATTTACATAATCTCCTACTAATATTAGGCCATCGTTGCGATCGGTCTTTGCTGAACTGGAGGTGCTACTTGAATTGGATCCTGAAATGCATCTTGAATCTGATTCTGATTTTCAGCCATTACACTTGCTTTTTTCTCTATTTCTTCTACATTGTTTGAAAGTCCTTTCAATATCGAGATCTAGTGAAACTAGCTAGATATCTTTTGGATCTTGCATAAACCGATGTCACCCTAAGAGAAGTGAAACAAGAAGAAATCAGGTAGTATAATGAATAGCCTAGAACAAAAAAAGAAATCGAAAAAATCAAATTTAATATCAATTAATAACTAAAATTAAAATCGTTATTCCACGACAACGGCACAAAAACTTGGTCGAACAAAATTCGCAAGTATATGAGATTGTCGGCAAGTACTTGCTTTCACTATTTTTTCATCAAATAATGAGTTTTACCTAATAAACACAATATAAAATAAATTAGGCAATATTTCATCAAAAAAACCTACAAAAAATCTTTTTTTAAAGTCTCAAATAAATGTATAAAATACATTTATCATTGTGATTACTACTTCATGCCGTGTCATGTAATTTCATCCTTAGTTCCTAACATCATGAATGTTTTCTTGATTCTTGTTACCATATTCATGCCATAAATTTCTTATGCTCATTGGCATTGTTATCGATTGTCTTAAAAGTATGTTAGTGCAAGTCCAAACTCTACTGCTTCGAAAAGCTACGCATTGGCAGTAAAAGGTAAATTAAGCAATCAAATACTAAGTTTATCGCTTAATGTACGATTAGGCTTGTTTAGACACGCTTTATTAATTTTTATCTTTTCCCGGGGCACACTTTATTAATTTTTTATTTATCATGTGAAATGTCACAAATGTGATAAGTTGTATATGTTTGAAGAAGTTGCAATGTTTAGCCCTCTTTATTGTTGAAATTGACTTCAATTATGAAACCAATTAAGTTGGTATATGTTTTGAAAGCATTGATTTAATTTGGATGATCAAAATTAATTAGATTAAAGTACGTTATATGCAAGTTGCCTACCATTACTTTGAAAGTACATAGACTTTCACAAAGCACTCGATACGGATATTATGAATTGAACTCTGAAAGAGTTGATGAACTCTCATTTCAAGTATAACCCAAGAATGGGGGAGGGTTAAACTTAATGCTTGTGAACTTGAAATAGAAAGTTCAAAACTTGTGGATGCAACATTAATAAATTGCATATGTATTCCTAATTGAGGAATTATGGGGATAACTCAGTTTAATAGTTACATTTGCTTCTATATTATAATCACAGAACGATATTTATGAAGGTGGAAAGATAGAAAACCCTTATACTAATTATAAAGATGATATAAAATAAGTCTAAAGTAGATGAAATAGGTTGTAAAGCCGATTATGGCTTTTGTTTAGACATACAAGAACAATTGGAATATATGAAGAATATTCATAAAGTTCAAATGCATGATAATGTTTCAATGATGATATTGAATACCCATGATTCTGAAATCCACTAGTAAAAGTAATTGACTAATGTAGTGTGTGATAGAAATCCTCCAACAGTGTTTGGAAATTGATAAAGTTTTAGATAAAGCTAATGAGGTATATAGTTTCATGAGAGAATTTTTTAGTGGCAACAATTTGTATCTATCAAATGAATCGATCATTGGCTAGCAATATTTGAAGCTAGTAAGTCACATGTAATGGCAGGTCTAAACGTAAAAGTCATAGACATAATACCATTAAACAGATGATCTCAGTTGTGCAAACTCGTGGTATCGTTAAGAGATTTACCGAGAGATTAAGTATACTGCATATCGAAAGGAATGAGATTGAAGCCTACAACATTAGAGTCCTTGTAATGGTAACCCTACCTTGTTGATTAGAGATCCCAAAATCTTTGTTCAAATGGACAACTAAGTTATGAGGATTTTACAAAGCACTAAGGAAAATAATTTCCCAACTCATTCCTATGATATTAAAGTGTTTTCTGCAGAGTTGCAAGAGGTTAAAATAATCTTTTAATGATTCCTATATCTTGATTAAGTCAAGTGGATTAGGGCAGAATACTCTTAATAGGAGGTCACCAATGTGAGTGTGAAGTGGGGCCGCTTCAATGAGAATTATTCAAGGTTTAAATTCTCTAAACACTAGTAGAGCCAAGAAGGGTTCAGGGCCAAAATTAACCAAGTCATGAGAACCATGAATGGTTTAGGGAAGACATTGTTTGAGTATCGTTATCATGGCTTACACTAAAGGTTAAATTTCAAGACATCACGTTCACCAATTAGCCGAGTAAGTCCGATAATATTTTACTAAGGAAGGTTCAAGGGCAGAAGCTACCATCCCTGATGCAGTGTTTTTCCGCACTTTCTCTACTAGTGTCTGCATTATCATTTGTATTGATTTTCATTCATGTGAGGGATTGTTGGAATTTTGTTGGAAATTTTGTATTATTTGGTGAATGAAAAATTAAGCTAAATTTAAATCATTTAAATACGTGAATTACTGAAAAAGTGCGTAAAATATTATGGAATTTCGAGAAATTATTTTACTAAAAATGTGTCTTTCTATATGAAAGATTATGACTTTTGGCATTATCATTTTTCAAGAAACGTGTCTCTTTAAATATAGAGACTAATTCCAATAGTTGTGTCTCTTTCATAGGTTGTCTCTTTTGAGATAAATATTTTCAACATCTATATATTGACCCCATATGTTTGGATTTAATCATTCAGGAATTTTAATTCATTCCATAATTTCATATTATTCATTTCATGTCAAGTTACTTAAAATACTTTGTAGAAATGGTTATGTCTTGCTTCAAAGTCATGTTTATGGTAGAAAGAGAATTTCGTTCGAGTTCGCTGGTCGAAATCATTTGGAGTGCTCCTATGGCTTGACGTGGTCATTATATATTGGGAAATGATTGCTGAAAAACCGTTAGCACCGATGCGGGGCAAATTCATCTTACGGACCAAGTGGCAAACACTTGTCTCGACCAAAAATTCATCACTTGCATATTTATTACTTAATTTTCTGATTTCTCTTAATTATGGTTTGATTTCAGAAAATGATTATCATTATTTACATGTTTGTTTTGCAATGTTTGATTCAAAGAATAACTTGCTTTCGTTAAAGAATCGAAAGAGATGAATCCATATTCATGCATTCGGATTCGATAATTATTATTGTTTTGCTTCTCAAATTCTATTTCGGTAAGTCAAAATTACGTTTCGATTTCACGCAAATAAATTGTATGCTATTGTGATTATAATATGCACACAATCAATGTATTCCCCAACAAAGTTGTCACTCTATATAGAGAAAAGTAATGAAATGACATAATATTTGAGTAGAGATAAGTATCATTTATTCCTTTTTCTTTTTTCTTGAAAACTCTTCCTTCAAAGTTCTTGCTTAAAGTTCAAAAAGTGCTTGAATTGGCAAGGTAATATAAAATATACATGAACTTTTTGACACTTAACTTTTTGAATCTTGTTGGATTTGATTTGATGATGATGATAATAATAGCACCTATTTTTTTATTAAAGTTTCTGATAACTTAATTATTGATGATAAAATCTAAAATCCATAGTTTCCTCTAATTTTCTTAACGAATTAAAAAAAAAAGTTAGGTCAACCTTGGATATGGGCTGGATTGACCCCAACTTCATTTTCAACAACATATCTAATGAAATAATAAATTATCCACATATTTCTATTGATGTGTAAATTAAACCTTTTATTTTCCGAACAAACGGAAACTTAAACAGGAGGGGACCGTATGCATATAGCTATACTATTATCGCCACTTTTGAAGTCATGACATGGCTATGAGCGTCAACATTCAATGGCTCTCATAGAGCTAAGTAGCATCACCCTATTCTTTTCTTCTCATGTGCTTCCAACCCAATTGAAGAAAGAAATTTTTCAAACATTCAATGAAGACACTGTCAGAACAAAAGTAATATGAGATGGCGCCCTTGTCCCTGGCCCTGAGTCGGGACAGGGGGTTTTATCCAATATATAAATAAATAAATAAAAAGGGTTGAACCGCAACTTTGAGGACTCCCATCGCCTCACCCCTAAGCATCGTGAGGGAGGTAAATAACGGGAAGTGCCCCAACAGGTCAGGGAACAAGAGCTTGCCTATGCACAAGTGCCCATAAAAAGTCCAATTTCATATCTCAGAAATCGAATCCTCACACTGCGGCTGTCAACAAGGCTAAAACTACCTCACTCATGTCCTTTGCACCATTGGGTTATGCCTCGGGGGGCGGGTTTTATCCAATATGATATGTAATACTTTTGCTAAAGCAAGAAAGATAGAGGTTATGTTGAGTCAAACTTTTCCTTTTTCGTGTCATCTTATTTTGCTATTACTCGTTATTTTAACTTGTATGGGACTTAACCAATATGCCACTCAAAGCTATACATTAGCAAGTTATAGTCTCCGTGTGGCTCCCATTTTTTTTCAAAACTCATTTTCAACCACACAATTTTGCATAAAATAATTTTATGGGTAAATCGAAAACTTTCCTTTTTTTTAAATAACACATTCTTAAAAAAATCACTATTCCAAAATATATTTTTTACAAAAATGGGGCTAAATAGGGGGCATATTCTGTCAAACTGTGGAAAAATCTTGCAATTCGTCTGAAAAAACTTAAATTGTTAGATAGCATATTCCTTTTTCGTCATATCCGTGACACAAAATTTTTACAGTTGTCTGAAAATTTTTATTTTAAACATTTGCACTCTACTAGACTACTATTATACGACATTCGTATTCACTCAGTGAATAATAATATCATTTCTGAATAGTTGAGCGTCATGTTTTTCGGTTCCTGATTAACATTAGAAAAAATGAAAATAAAACAAAGACAATTTTCAAAGTTTGATTTCACGACTATTTCAGTATTTACTCAACTTGATGACTAGCGAAACTCAATTTCACACTCTACAACCTGGTTGGCTTCAATATCTGGTGCAGCTTCACATCACATCATTCCCAACTGATAAACTCTCATTGAAACTGGTTTTCATACTGGTAAAATATGCTTCACATCCTATCTGATGCTCCTTTGTTTTCCGCCAGAATATCTTAAACTTGACTGCAGTTTCCACCTCCACTTTAAAATCTATACTTCAACCTCTTAGTCCTTGCTGAAAATTTCGGTGGACCACGGCTGAGTCAGCTTTAATAGTTATTTTCCATGAAGTATCGTTCTTGTGTCCTTGATAAAATGGTGGTGTAGAACTTGTCCCAACAAAGACATCTTTGAAAAATAAACTCAAGGAGATCCCGTCATAGTATATGCTAATACCTTTGTTAGGATTCGAGATTTTGAAATCGAAAAGTATTAGAGAAGAGTTTCCAACAGAAGAATTCTCAGAATTTAGAGAAGGAAAGTATATGTTTACAATGGTAAAAGATGGATTTCTTGGGATTAGACAGCGCCATATAACTACAGAAACCAAACTTAACACTACTATCACCTGAAAAAACCAGCAGTAGATGCCGAAGTTAGCTTCACAAATTTTTTGGCGAACCATTTGTACTTGTAGTGTAACAAAATGAAATCTCAAAGAAACTGATTCAAAATTTAAATTCAGGGTTCTGGATCATGAAAAGAGAGAGATTTGAAAAGGCATGTTCATGACTGGAAGTTGGCAAGACATATATGCTTGTGGTTACGCTATTTTATAGATGAATAGTTTGTGCACTGAAAATTTTCTAATACAAAAAAAATAATAATAAATAAATAAAAATTATGAAAAAAGTTCGCATGTTTATACCTAAGTCGAAAAGAAAGTAAGCCGCATTGGATCAAGTTATACAACAGGTTGGACGGTTTGCTTTATTGGTCGTAAAAAGTGTTAACTAATTCAATCATGCTACATAGTCCAACTCAATGATAGAATTTTTTTTCCAGACAACACATTGTTGGGAATCTACTTATACATGCACAGCGGAATTTAAAATAATTTTCGATTCCCACCAAGAATCGCCTTTGTGTTTAGATAGAAATTGTGATAAGATTGTACCTTTTCCAGATCTGCAATCCTTTTGCTTTTCTTTTCGTTCCACAACTTTGATTCGCCACCACAGCTGTCCAATTGTCCAGCCTCCAACGGTGATCCACACAGAGAATATGATTGCAGCCTCTAGGGTTTTTTTTCTTGTGCCAGCAAGAATAATGAAAACACATATGGACCTCAAACCCTAGTTATGTATTTATATAAACCCAAACAGGCTCGACCCGGTCCGGTCCAATAATTAATTAATCCAATTAATTAATTCGAAAATATAAATAACAAATCCAATTAATTAATTTATCCAACGATTGTTAAATTAACCAATTGGCAATTTGCAATCTTCCAATTCTCTTTTGTGTGTGACCCATTAGGTTCCCGACCACGATGTCTAACGACGTGAAATATTATTTTGATCTAATCAAAATTGATAAATTAAAACCCCCCTTTTAATTTATCGTTAATTCACATTCGCCGTCCCTGATTGACATTTAGCAATGTGTCAGGGCAATACATGTGACGGGAAATGTCACGTGGTATGACAAAATCAAATTCGTTCGTTTACCGTGAAACTATAATCCATTCGTCAATATGATCCGATCAATTACGAGATATGGAATTGTGTCAATCTCGATCATCGATCATATCTTTCATTCCACTATTAAGTCAATATAAGTCGAAAACTCCTTTTCGACTTATGGGTACACCTTGGCTAAGGATTTCATCATCGACTTAATTGAATGAAACGCAGATCATAATCTCCTACTATCTAAGAGTGACGAATCCTTTACTGATCAATCACAACCTTCATACGATTCTTGACATACCCGAACGATATCGTATTAGCGGCCCTATTCAGAGCAACATTCAACACCGCCAAAGTATGACTATCTTCATATAAGGTACTATGACGACCTCAAGTCAAAGGACCAATTCCACTACCGAACGTTAGAGATTAATCACTGACACTCAGATAGTTATCCATGTGGAATCTCTCGACGGGTCTCCAATGTTTTGTTCTATAACAAAAACATCCACGTGTTCATTTAAGTGTCACCACACTTTAACTTGTGAGATCAGTTACTTACTTCACAAGTAAGAAATACCACACGTGATGGTCTATCCGTAATAACGATATCCGTATCTCGTTATTACTTACGACCACGGATGATTTAAGATTCAATCAGATGTAATTTGTATCTCACAATCACAACTCCTTGTGATCAACAAATTACAAATATTTGAATCTACGGACTCTATTATTTATTTAATTGTCTATTAATTAAATAATAGATCTGTCATTTAATTGCATTAATTATATATAAAAGTATTTATGTCCAAAGTTGATTGGACCTAGGGCATAATACTTACACACATGACAATTTTTCATTAAAAATCGGAAAAAGGCATCACAAAAACACTCAATCACAAACTGTCAAGTCTGCCTATTTTTTATCCCTATTTTTTCTCCCTATTTGAGTAGCATTTTCTAACTAATTTAAGCTCGGGGCAAATAGTGGTCGACAACGACCGCATGATCGGAGCCCTGATTCTATACCACAACCAAATCCATTCTTCCATATTGCGATTTGTGCAGTGTGATTGATATATATGGTGATTATCTCTTGCGCCAATTTTATCCATTCTCCATTGAAGTATTGTAATAATCAACAATTTTGTGCCACTAAGACAGTCAAGTATCAATAAAAATTTCTTACAGTTTGGGTAATTTCAAATTTGCGATCTTAATTTTGGAATTCGTGGTAGAATCAAGAAATTATTTCCATATCGACTATATCAAAATGGGGAAAGGTCTTGAGGACCCATTTGCATGAAAGACAGATTAGAAACCATTTGCATTAAGGAACGACACTTCCAAGAATAGATTAATAGCAGCTGAAAAGCATAGCTGAAAATTAATTGGTTTATTGAAAAATATACTTGGACAAAAGGCTATGATCCACTTCATTAAAGTAGCTTTTTGATCAATTCATAAGCATCTTCTGCCTTCTGAGTGAAGCAATCGAGTCAACATTACGTAGCTTAAGTATTTGATTTTCAATATGCCTTTTTTCTTATGCAAAAAAAAAAAAAAAAAAAAAAAAAAATTTAAAAAAAAAAAAAAAAAAAAAAAAAAAAAAATTCTAGAGAAAATTGCAGGGAAGGTCCCAAACCTTTCAATTTTCTCCAAAATACCCCCTTAACCTTTTATTTTTGCGGCCGTAGTTCCAAACCTTTCACTTTAACGGCAGCGAGAGTCCATAAGACATATTTCATCTAATATTCCGTTAGTCAACCATGAAATTAGATGTTTGACTCAAATTGACAAATTAAATTAGGAGTACAAATAATAAATTTAAATTTTCTATAATAAAACAATTAAAATAATTAAATAAAAACAAAATCAAAGTGAACTTTCTCTTCCCAAACCCCACCCACAAAATTCAAAACCAGAAAATGTTGGTGTCCACTTGGTTAGCAACGGAGCTCATTTTTTACTTCACGAGAAGTACTCGAGTACACATCTAAAGCGATAGCCACAGAGGAATCATTGAACTATAAATTCGACTATTCTACTATGCCAGTATCGTCACATCAAAAAATTTGAAGGATAAACATAAAAATTAAAAAGTTGTTAATTATACGATAGTAATCTTCTTATCCTGAGGAAAAAAGATAGATTAAGTGCATGGTGTATGCACTTTTACACACTCATCAACATGGAAACACCGGCCTACATTAATTATTCCAAGTGGAGAAATCCTCGACCATTATATCTACATTGAAAAGAAAAATAAGTACAGTGTGTATATGTCTCTTTTTAGATGACCATGCACATGTAGTTGTGCTTAATTTACTTTCTTCAAAATAACTTTTAATCACAACCAAACATGCTCATGTGTTCTTAGTAAACCTTAGTACACACACTTCTGATTTCACCTTCTTTATCAGTAAGCACATTAATTCTGCCCATTTTCACCATCGACTCCCCAAAGTCTTCGAAGAACGTAGATCCATGAGATAGAGCTTGAAATTTGAGATATGCTTTTGTTTCAATGTCATCTAGTAGAGCTACGTCTGACTCGAAAAGCCCTCTTCTTTTCGCCACAAGTCTGAAATAAGACTCATCGAAGGTCTCGTAACTTCCGGGATCCATTTCCACTATTGAGTTCTGGTCTCGAGGCTTGCATTTCATCTTAAGTTTTTTTACGTACTTACTATCCAAACTGGGGTCGGTATCAAACCTTCCAGTGAAATTGTAGAGATGGTGGTGGAAGGATGAGCAATGAGAAATCCCAATTGTATGTCCACCTAAATTAAAGGTAAAGTTTATGTTCGAACAAATTTCTACTGTGTTTTTGTCCTTCGAGATTGTAACATAATCCTATATTTCTTAACTTTAGAAAATGCAACTAAAAAGTCAAAAGTCAAAAATTATTTTCTGAAAGTTTTTATCTCACTAGAAGAATTGTTAGATGAAGTTGATGTAAGTACCCCTTCATCATAAATTAAGCTCTTCTACGAGAAGAAAAAGAAAAAAAATCTTTCATATATATATATATATATATATTTATTTTTTAATGATGGGGGAACCCGTAGCTGCTATCCTTCCGGTGCGTACTGGGTAAACCCTCAAACTGAAACAATAGCCTGCAAATCATGTCAGTAAGGTAAACTGTACGAGGCAAACCCTGTGCGACAAACTCTACCAAGAAAGTGTTGGTATGAAAAATCGAACTCGTGACCAAAGGTCTCCGTACTCACCTACTCTACCAACTCGGCCACATCATGAGGGTAAAAAAAAAAAAAAAAAAAAAAAAAGTTTTTTAATTGTCCCTTAGTCAAATTGCTTAAGCAACCCTCACTTTTGCGACTAGTGCAACATAATTTTATATTTAATTTGTTCGGCCTAAATTTACACGTGGAATATGTAGAAGTGGGCATCAAAATACCTGATAAGACTACGAGGTCCTTGACACTTAAACCGCGCTTCTTAAACCCTTTCTTTAAAGTACTAATGTTTGAAAAGGGTGCTAACAATTTATGTAGGGCTTCGCTCTTAATCGATACTCTTCCATCTCTTCGTCCAGTTTCGACTTCCCAGAATGGCCCTTTAACCTGATAAACATAGAATTCAATTATAACCCTGAATATATCTTCATTATCTAATTGAATTTTTTCATATACTCAAAGTTACCGCTACTGTTACATCCCTAGCTACTAGGGCTAGTATGTCAGCACATGAAACGACACCGGGGCACACTTTCTCTGCTGCAGCCTTCGCTTGATCTATAATTTCAAATCCTCTTAAACTTAAATATGAGTCAGCATCCTTCTCATATTTTTTTGCTGGAGACTCCAACAACACTGATCCATCACAGCCCTGCATATAAGTTAATAGAAATATAATACTTACCGAGCCAGTAACATGGAAGCATAAATTTTGGTAACGTACTCTAACAAAACAATCGTGAAAATGCATTCTTAACAATGGAGGTGCAAGAGTTGGCGATATAGAGATGACTTGGTCTACAATCTCTTTAACTAAGGGTTCAAGATCTGGGCATGTTTCCTGGTAATACCCTACTTTCAGACTTTGTCCATTTGCAACAATATTGAAAGCAAAAGCTAGGGTAATTAATTGAAAAAATAAGGTGCTTATTGAAGCCATGCAGTACTATGAAGTATGAAGTGTTAACTTCTTGTATTTTGGTACTGAAATTAGGTAAAGTAATTGCATCGTTTTATCGTAAGCCATCTACCAAAACCCTTTGAATCTGTCAGTGCATGGCTCTCTCTGATGTGATTCTTCTTAAGGTTTATCATTATCTATCATTTTTTTGAATAAATCTGATTGGTATTTTTGAACAAATAATTAATTGACCAAACAGTTGGGACCCACGTGGTGATGAAAGAAGATGACGATTTATTTGGGTCTGAAGTAAAATAAGTAAATTTTGACCTACATATTAATTTATTGATTAAAGTTGGAAAAAAAAATTATTTTATTAATTTTGAAAGTAAATTTTATTGCATAGGACTTGGCAAATGAAAATCCAGAGAAATAATGTTATCTAGCACCAGTGGTACTTAAATATCAGTTTATATGACATTATATGATAGATTAAATTAAATGTGAAATTATGCATTTTATTTAACTAAACTTGTAATTTAATAATACTAATACTGTCATATAACTAGTATTAACCTCCAGTGATGCTAACTAGCACTACTCAATGTAGATATGTAATGTGTTGGCTTGACTTAGTCAGTGTGTGCCCGAGCAATTGTTAAGAGTCAAAATAAGTAAACTTCTATTTGTACCATTAAGCTTAGTCAAATAAGCTTAATGAAAATATCCTTAAATATCCTTAAACTTCTATTTTTGTTTAATGAAACAATTCACAAAAATCCTTAAAAAAAATTTATTAATTAAATATTTAGCCATTGCTTGATTGTCATTATTTAGCAAAAACAAGATTTTGAATAGTGAATTTTGAAGAATGTGTGGTTAAAAAGTAGGAAACAATTTTGCATTTATATACAAAATATTTTACTGTGTGAATTTATAATTGAAAATGAGTTTAAAGAATAAAGAATTTTAAAATAATTATTGTCAAATAGGGGCTTACTTTTGTCGCTTTTTTATTCTCAAACTACTGTATTATTAATATTTTATTTTTAAATTTTTTTACAATAAATTTTGTATACACATATTCAACCACCCTATTTCCACCCTCATTATTGTCACTACCATCACCATGGCCGCCGTCAATTGTAACACAATATGATCTACACATTTTGGTGCATTTATCAATCATCATCATGACAGTCGACACCAACACTACTAGTAATGTTCAATGTTATACCATTATTGCCGGTCCCACCACTTTAGCATTAATTGTTATACTACTTTTAATCCCACCGCTTAAAATATTTATTGTTACACCACTATCGTTGCCCCATCATTGTCGTTACCTTAATTATTATCCTACCATTTGCACAACCAAACCACCACCGCCTCCACCATAACCACCACCCTAAACTCTAAATCACCACTACCACTAGTAGATCTACACCACTTCTCCCATCATGACATAAGCCACCACCTCCCAACCATCACCACCACATTTCAAACCTTAAATCATCCCCATGCACGACCACCTACACTATCACCACTACCACCATTTTTAGTCACCACCTAATCTCCACTCCCACAACAAACCACCAAAAATAAAATCAATCTGAGACATAAAAGTATCAGATTTGAGGTGAAAGGAGGTGGTGGAGCGGGCATTGCTAATGGTGAAAATGGTCGCGGGTGGTTCGTGAATGATGGTGGTTCCATGTCTGTCAATACCCATAATCAACGTGTCTTTTATGCGGGAGAAGGTACTAGATTCAATATTTCCTTGTTTTCTTTCTCTTCTCGAACTTCACTTTTACATTTGAAAAAAAAAATTAATACTTAAAATTCAGGATTATTAATCAAAATCAACAAAAGACGTGACTTATTCTAATCACATGCATCATATCATTATATTTTACATGTTACGTCATTGAATTGATAATATATTTATCATAATGAATTAGTCGTCTAGAGACTTGACAATTTGCCTCGAAAAAAATATGCTCAACAAAACAACTTAATTTCCAGGCAAATCCATCTAGTAAGGTTTATAGATTTCATTCACTAGAAAAATATGTTCCACAAGAATAGATGTAAAGGGATTGTTGGAAATTATATTAAGTTTCAACTTTCAAAATTATTATATTTTTAATTTTTAGTTTTGGGTTTAATTAAAATCTTAATTTGTTGTAAATGGAAAGTCCATTAAAGTTTATTGATGAATGACATTTGTACCCCTTAGCCCTAGAAATTATTATCATTGTATCTCTGATTCTTACCTATAAATATAGAGCTTTGATTTTCAATAATACAGACAAAAAGTTTATTGAGTTTTCTCTATTCTCTTTAAGTTTCTCTATTCTCTTTTCCTCTCATTTTATAACATGTTATCAACACGAAACTCTTAGAAGGTAGTAATTTTTTTCATAATCATCTATCACGTATATCAAAATTAATTTGATAATACGTGAATTTTACATATACATATGTTAAATCTGCAATACGTGATCTCATCTTTCTCGATCATTATTTTTTCTTTGTACCTCTCTTTGAATTAATTAATATTTTTTTCCTTTACATCAATCCACGTGCATTTTTATGGAAATATATTTATGTTAAATCAATTGATATGCATTAATTCATGTTCCTATACTCTCCTTATATTTAGATTAGCCTTTTACGTTTTACACATGCTTATAATTTTTTTTTTTTTAATTGGTCAACGTTCTTTGTAAGCAAGCTTCAATTTCAGATCTCTATTTTGGCTGATTCCATATATATATATATATATATATATAATTAGCAAATAACTGTACCCAACTCATCTTTTCTCTCAAATCCATTGGTTTCTATAAATTTCATGCCTTAATTGGTTAATACTAATTCAATTCTTTTAATTGCACATAATTAGAATTTCATGCCATAATATGTGAATATGTTTCTACATGTCACCAATTTTTTTTTTGTGTTTCACAGGACTCACGTTATTAATTCAAAATAATATTTTACATGTATTTGTATATTAATTAATGATGAGCAATTGGATGTATTATCATTTTTTTTATGTTTAGTTATGAAACATTACATTAAATTTATTTTTAATTGTTATTGCTCCTGAAATAGCACAACATTATAATTAATATTCCAAAAGAATATTAATCATAGAGTTATTCATTGTTGCTTCAGAAGTAGCACAACATTATAAGAATATTATTTGTTCCTGAAGAACATAAATTATAACTCTCAATATTCCAAAAGAATATTGACATATTGTACTTGAAGAAATAATAGTAAAATATAATGTGCTCCAAAAGTAGCATATGTTTCGAAAAACATATTATTTCAAATTAGTGTTTATCCCTAGAGGAAAACACATAATTTAAAGTCATGTTGATATTGACTATTTGATTAACATGTGATGATTAATCATATTCTTCGAAACTAATTGTATTTTTTTATTGTGTAGTTAAACAAATGGCAAACATTACGAAACCTGAGTTTGCTGCACTTGACATATCTGGTAAAAATTATCTGTCATGGATACTGGATACTGATATCCATCTTGTCTCAAAGGATCTGGAAGAGACAATAAAAGAAGGAAACAATGAATTCCTGCAGGATCATGCGAAAGCACTCATTTTCTTCCGTCACCATCTTCACGATGGATTAAAATTTGAATATCTCTACTAGAGATCAATCAAGGAAAAAGAAAAATTGGAGACTAATTTTGCTGATTATGATAGTCCAATTAATGTGACTCATTTGGATGTCTCCGATTTCTTTACTGATCCAAATAGAAATATTGAACATTTGGTTGGAGGTGGTGTGATAGAAGATATAGATTAATTTACTAGTATTTCTTTCGTTTTACAAATTCAGTCTGAAATGTGTTTTTACTTTTCTACACAAAAATAAAAAAAATAAAAATAAAACTCTATTATGCACCGTTTATTTCATGATATTAAGTAATGTTTACTTCTTTAAATCTAAATTCAAGTTTTTTTTTTAAATTTTGTTTATTTTGTTATATTTATAGATTCATGATGAATAGTTAAGACAGTTGCTTAATTGATAGTGCAACTACAAATACTATTTTTCAAGACAAAAAATGCTTTTTAAACTTAATATTAGTTGAAAATAATGTTACGATATCAGGTGCGTCGAATATCGTTGAAGGCTCCGGAAGAGCTTGTATTATTTTACCAAATAATACAAAATTATATATTGATGATGCACTTTATTCTAGCAAATTCAGAAGAAATTTGCTTAATTTTAAAGATATTCGCTCCAATGAATATCACATTGAGACGATGCAAGAAAATAATATTGAATATCTTTGCATCACTTCTTTTGTATCTGGCAAGAAGCAGATAAAAGAAAATTTTCATACACTCCCGTCTGGTATGTATTTTACATTTATAAAAATGGTCGAATCAAATAATGTTACGAACCAGAAATTCGTTGATTAAAAAAGTTTTATACTTTGGCATGATCGACTTGGACATCTAGGAGTCATAATGATGCGTCAAATAATAAACAACTCACATGGACATCCTTTAAAGAATCAGAAGATTCTTTTATCTAATGATTATCCATGTATAGTTTGTTCGCAAGGCAAGTTAGTCATTAGACCTTCAACTACAAAAGTCAATATTGAATCTCAAACTTTCTTGAAAAGAATACATGGAGACATATGTGGGTCAATACACCCATCATGTGGACCATTTCGTTACTTTATGGTATTAATTGATTCTTCTACAAGATGGTCACATGTTTGTCTACTTTCAACTAGGAATGTAGCATTTGCTATACCACTTGTTCAAATCATAAAATTGCGAGCACAATTCCCCGATTACTCAATCAAGACTATTCGTCTTGACAATGCTGGTAAATTTAGATCACAAGCATTTGATGATTATTGTATGTCAATTGGGATTGAAATTGAACATTCAGTTGCACATGTTCATACATAAAATGGTTTAGCGGAATCGTTTATTAAACGTCTACAACTTATTGTTAGACCATTACTTATGAAAATAAAACTCCCAACTTCTGTTTGGGGTCATGCCATATTATATGCTGCATTATTGGTTCGTATAAGACCAACTGTCTATTATCAATATTCACCTTTGCAACTTGCATTTGGTCATGAACTTGATATTTCTCACCTACGGGTTTTTGGTTATGCTGTCCAAGT